CCCCCCCCCCCCCCAGAAGTGCTGTAAGGTAAGCCTATCAATCCCCTTCTAAGACTTCCATCCCTATCCCTGGAGGCTGCAGATGGAGATTTTTGTGTAGTGGGGGGGGAGATAGAAACGATAGAGCATGGAGGACAAGTGCAGGCTCTGTGCTGTCAACTGGTAGCATTCATGTGCTGCTCCCACTGAGCTTTGTGGTGAACAGTCATGTGCAGAGGGGAAGCTAGACATTCTGTCACCTGGGACAAATGCCCAGAGTTGCTACACCCCCCAAGGGAGAAGTTCTCCATCAATACACCCAGTGGCACCCTTCCTAAAAGTACTGTAATGACCATAAGATTTACCAGTCTTGATATGCTGGAGGCAAAGACTGAAAATCACTTCAGTGCTGTCTGCAGAGCTCTTCAGAGCAGACCCGGCAATACAAGTGACCTGCACCTGTGAAGCAGTGCCATCTGGAGGAATAGGGTGGCTGCTCCTTCCACTGTTCTGTAAGCTGCCCCAAGATGACTCTCCCGCTTTTTCCTCTTCTACTATTACACCCAGGTACAATGCGAGACCTCATGATCATTCCCAACCTCATTGCTGGAGCCAAATTGGCAGTAAGCTGCAGTAGCAATTGGTTCTCCCTACCTGTTGTCCCATCCCTCTATGTTCCTGTTGCTCTCCTCTTCAACATCAGATAAAATGAATTGCTGTGCATCTTCCGGCAGCAAGTTACTGAAGCTGTGCTGAAATAATTCAGCCGACTGCTCCATTCCAGTTTGTGGGGTAACAGCATGATTAGCTGGGAACGAGGAAGAAAAGGGTGCATTAGCAGCTGCTGATGACATTGCACTACTCTGCACATTTTATGCTCTGGCTGTATAGCATGCACACTGCCAGAAAAGAAAGGCAAGCGTACCCTACCTCTTGAGGAAGCATCTCAACCAACACTTTGGCCTGTGGATACAGAACCTACTCGTCCCTTAATAGCTGCATATGAACAACCTCTTTCTCTCCTTTTAGGCCTTACAATAATGGGTATTTTATTACCAGCAATTGAAATAGGTGGATGAGGGATGCTGGTGCTTTTGGGCACTAAACTGGACCACAATGTGGTGCTATGCTGCTGACAATGGGCAGCTTTTTCTGTTCATGCTGCTGCTGACCCCGAAAACTAGAGAAAAATGAAACTACCGTGACAAAATTATACAGAAAGGAAATACACCTCCCCAAAAAAACCTAAAACACAAAACTCCAGATACCAACCCTTAAACACGTTTTAATGAAATATCAACCATTTAACACTTTTTAACCCAAAAACAGCAACAACACCGCAACAGGACTTTTTACTGAAACACGAAAACCACAAAAAAAAGTCTAAAAAGAACTGTTGGGTGTATTCACAATGAATACAGGTGGACAACTCCACCCTCCACTCTTTGTGGCCCATCCACACTGAAATTCACTGCATCAGCACTGCATATTGCAATGCATAGCTCTGTGCTAGAACAGTACAATAGCATTAACTCTCTCAAGGTGCCCATACACTGCTCGATTCTCGTACAAGAATCGCGGGAAATCCCGCGATCGTACGAGAATCGAGCAGTGTGAACAGAGACGTGCGACCGTTTCTACTGTACGGTCGCACGTCTTCCGTCGAACCAGCATGTTCGAAAACCAGCCGGGAATCGTACGATTCTCGGCTGGTTAGAACGGTGCTCGGAAGACAAATGCCGAACGGGTCGGTGTGCGCACGCGCACACTGCCCGTTCAGCATTGCGGTCATCGGAAGCCCGCCCCTCAGGGGGCGGGCTTGCGATGATCGAGAGTGCGATCTGCCTGTCCAAGATAGGCAGATCGTACGTTTTTTTAATCCCTGTACAACCATCGCAAGACTAAGGTCTTGCGATGGTTGTAGAGTGTATGGCCACCTTTAGCTATCAACTATCCCTCACTAGTTCCAACATGTACTGACAAAAGGCTGATTGGAGAGCTGAATGTTATATTTGATATTTTACGAGGCGGCTGGCACATTGTTAACAACACATTATTGGCCAAAGTATGCGCCAGACCACAGTTTACCAAGTTATTATGGGGAGTTTGTTTTGTCACTCTGGCAGAAGTATTTAAAAGATTTGCTATTTGGATGAACATGCAAATTTCAGGAACCTGAACCCTATCTCTAATGCTCATGTTTAACCCTTTTGCTGCCAAGCCCTCCGGAACGCTTTAAATCTCAGCTTGCCACACTATTTTTGCCATTTTTCCCATCGTTTTGATTTTCTACTGCTGCGTTGCTAGCTTTTGTAAAAGACCCCCCAAACCATATATTTTCTGAAAGCACAGGCCCGGTAGAATAAAAAGACAGGGCTACTAATTTTGTAGGTCCTGCGATAATTGCGTAAATGTTTGTCAAATCCATATTAAAGCAATACAAATACACAATTAAATTGATAAAATCACACTAAAATCAGTATCGGTGCACAAAAAAAAACACTTTTCCGACTAAATCTAAAAAATAAAACTGTATTGAGTTAATAACAAATATTTGTAAATTTTAAATTGCGCCTTCCTGCCAAAACGATAAAAAAATGAAGTAACGCAAAACTGTAAATAAGCAACTTTGTTTGTGCGCTGTATTGGTGTGTCTGTTGTGATAAAATGATGGAGGCGTACATTTAATCGCAACACATGCGCTGCCAAAGTTAAATTAATGTTATTTTGAAAATAAAAAAATCAAGCACTGCGATGCGTTCTAACAACGCACCCCAGCGTATGTGCCTGTCGTACACTACAATATGGTGCACATTGTTGCACATGTATAATGTGTGTGTGTTTGGGGGGGGGGGGGGGGGGGAGTGAAATAAACAGACCCCTGATGTTTCCTTTTTGAAAAAGAAATTGAGAACACAGTGTCCTCAATCTTTTTTTCTGCAACCTCAGCACTCAATGAATGGAAAGCACTTAGTATACAGGATTCTACCCATTCATAGCTTGATGATAGTAAATGTTTTACTATCACCAGTTTCTGAATGGGAAGCCTCTGTACTAACGCTTCCACCCATTGAGAAACTCATGAATGAACAGGAAGTGATGTAAAGTACCTCCTGTTCATTCATAACTGAGGACACATAGTACTATGTGTCCCCAGTTGTTTACAAACACTGAAGTGATCAGCTGATCACTCCAGTGTTTGTGCTGCACAGAGGATCAGTAAATATCACAGATATTTACAGAACCTCCGCTCGGCCACACACAGACAGAGCCGCTGGCGATCCTGGATCCCTGCTACCTCAGCCCATACAAGCGGGGGAGAGCAGCGGGTATCTGAGGAGAAATAGATCCCAGCCTGGAACGGCTACAGGTGGGGAGGAGAGGCTGCGGATTGTATGTTGGCGGGGGGAGGGTGTGCCCAGATTTTTTTATTAATAGCTGTCATCAGCAACCTGTCAGCCACTGATGACAGCTATTTTAAAGGGAACCATGAGCTTATAGCAGAACCGTAAAAGCCACGGTAGGGCTTACCAACGTGGCCTTCTGGAAACAGTTGTGTTCCGCCGTAAGCCTTACGTCAGTGGCAGGGAAAGGGTTAAATCAAACATACAAGACAAAAGGTATGAAATAATGAAAGTTTGAATATGCAATACTGAAAACGTCATTTGTGTTTTAGAATGCGAATGCCCGGGTTCCACTTTGCTTTGGGAGGGAAAAGCAGCCATTGCACAGAAGATTGTAAGAGCGTGTGAGTGATAAAAAAAAAAGGCACAAAAGACCATAGTGTGTAAGATCACTTCAGAAAGGTTTGGCCCCAAAAAATGTAACGTTTATGGCTATTCAAAAGGTAACATCAAATTGGAGCACTGGAGGTTGGCATGAGGAACCATAGAGAGCTGCAAAG